CTTCAGAGCCTCTGTGAGAGGTTCACTTGTGACCCTTGAGGATCTCACTTTTTACAAAGAGCTCACCCCATCACTACCACTCACATCAAAATGGAGTTTGTCAGATTGTAGAGGCTTTTAGAACCTAGTGCTAATGAGGTAACAGTAAGAACGTAGAGCGAGGCCCTCTCAAAGGCCAATTCGACCGCATGCCTGTGTTTTGGGTTCTGCCTCCAGGACCTGGAACAAAGGCTGCCCCAGCCCTGGCTTTCTTCCTGGTCTCTCTCCCTTGGGCCTGGTTTCCCCCTCCAGCCAAGGAGCTGCTCCCTTCATCCCAGCCCCACTAACATGGAGCAGGAGCAGCTCCCTCCAGAGGGGAGGTGTAGGGTGTGCATGCACATGGCTTGGCCTGTCTGGGCTGGGCCTGTCTCTGCACTTGATCAGCTGACCTTTACTTCTTTGTCCCCAGGGAACATGAGATGGGGATGGTGAAGCAGGAGTTGGCAGTAGTGCTGTCTGCCTTGCAGCTGCTCAAGGAGGACAATCCTAGCAGGAAGATAGCTGAGATACAGGGCAAGCTGGTCACGGTACATGACAGGGCTTCCTTTAAAGGGCCCAGCATTCTTGGTGCTGGCCATCAGCAAGCTCCTTTGCCTGCATTCACTCAGGCCCTCAACATCAGACCTTCAGCAGCCAAGGGAGGGCTGCAGAACAAAGAATCCTAATCTGTTGAGGAGACATGTTCAGGAGGGGTGGTCTGGTGGCCACACACACACACACACACACACACACACACACACACACTTAACCCTGTGGGAAGAGTGGACGGATGGCAAGAGTCTGGATGGTGGTGGTGGTGGGGGAATGGATCGTGAAATGAGAGACCCATTTATCTCCATACTGATTATACATTCTTGAGACCCCTGAGCCAGCCTGAGCAGCTTGGGTTTGGTCTTAGCCCCTTCCCCCCAACCTTCCCAAGTAGGGAGGAAATCTAGGTGTGGGGGGGAGGGGCTGGGGTTTCCCACTTAGTATTTTTGCTTTCATTTTGCAGAAGTATAGGAAGAGGAAGAAGCTTACTCAGAGTTCCCCTATGAGACTGGGGGTTTACCCTGTTTAGAGCTGTGGTTTAGGGTAGGTTTAGAGTTTTTCATATATTTGCTCAGGTGGCTGTTTTCCAGTTTCAGAATCAGATAATGAAGATGGAGAACAACATACAAGACAACAAAACCATACAGAACCTGAAATTTAACACTGAAACCAAACTGGTAACTGGAGCCTCCCTCATCAGAACCCAGTTTGTCTGAGATTCAACTTTTAATGCCCCAGGGAGATAAGAGAAAGGCTGCTCCCTGGTCTTAGAGACCAAATGGGAGCTAAAGTGTCCTGCCCCAGGCCGGGGATTTCTCGTGTGGTCCTCCTGCCAGTGTTCCCTGAGGACAAAGAACAAACAGGAGCCCCCAGTCCCCCTCCTTTCCTCCACCCCCGGGGTGGTCAGATGTGGGGTGATCAGGAACCAGGTTACCTAGCCTCCACTTTCCCAGTCCCACTGGCCCCAGAGTGCACATTTGCCTTGTCTGTCAGAATCTCACCTTAGCCATCTTGACTAAGAAGAATGTCTTCCTATGATAAGACTGATTGGAGCAGTTTACTCAGGGGAAGATAAATGACTGTTTGTTTAGTTTTCTTCCTAATCTTGGCCACTTTTTGTTTGTTTCCTGGCATTCCTTTAATTAATCTGTCAACCACCCCTTCTTTCTCCCTAGTCAGGGTGGCCCTATCAGCTTCCTAATCTGTTAATATCTCTCTCTGCTGCTGCCATCAGAGGGTAGAGGAGATCGCTCACCTCCGGGAAAATGTGATGAAGCTATGGAGTGAGGAAGGACCCTGGACCCTGACGCTTGGTAGCAAAAAAATGCTCATGTCCCTTGTGAGACAACGATTTTTTATCAAGGATGTGGGCCCTGACGAGGTCACCCAGATAAACAGATGGGGCATTTATCAGGCAGTGAGGTAGGGAGGAGAACTATGCTGTTATATTAAGCTAAGACACCTACCTATCTTTGGATTTGGGACTCCTGGGCCCTTATCTGTCCAAGCGCACCAAGAGGCCTCCGGACAAGGAAGGAATCTGTCCTGGGGCAAATCCTGTGAGAACCTCTTTTAATTCTGAGGGGGGAGGAAACTGCCAGAGCCAAGTATTTATTATTCACTTACTATGCACCCAGTTTTTCAGTGGCCACTGGGGAAGCAAACAAAGAAAAAATAAGTAGTCCCTGCCCTCAAGGAGTTTACCTTGTGATAAGCGGAGACAAAAAGTATGGTCTAAACTCTGGGTACAGTGTGCTCTGAATATCAGAAACATCTTGGGAACTGGAAAAGGGAGAAAATACAAAAGGCCAGGAAGCTGAATTAAGTTGTCCTTTTCTGGGAGGGAAAGAGCACAGACAAATAAATGCTCTGATCTGAGGGGAGTGGTGTGCTAGCTTTGATATGATTCAAAGATCAAAAGTTGCCACTTGCCCTCCTGGAGCCCTCTTTCTAAAGAGGCTGCCTCAGTGGACTGTGTACTGGGGCTAGAGGACCAGCTGACACCAGAAGCTGCAAAGTGGTAAGGACTGAATAAGTCAGAAGGGATGCAATCTGTCTGTGTTTCTGTTGCCAGGTGGCTGAAATGGAAAGCAGTTTTACTCAAGCTTTTAGTTAAGGGAAGGCCAAGAAAAGTCTATCATCTCAGGGGTCCTAGTGGAGAAGCCTACAGATCTGGAGCCTATTCATTGGCCTGACTTCCCTCTCTTCCCAGAAATAAAATGCTGTCCCTTATGTGAAATTAACTGTTGTTGTTCAGTTGTATCCGACCCCATTTGAGGTTCTCTTGGCAAAGGAATGGTTTACCTTTTTCTTCTCCAGCTCATTTTACAGATGAGGAGACTGAGGCAAACCTGGTTAAGTAACTTGTGTAAGGTCACAAAGCCAGTAAGTGTCTGAGGCTAGATTTCAACTCAGGGCTTCCTGACTCCAGGCTCAGTGCTCTATTCTCTGTGGCACCTAGTTACCACAGAATTGACTAGGAATCTTATTTATTTGGGGAAGTGGATAATTCAATAGTGATCAAGATATTTGGGCCAACTACTATGCCCTGGGGTTTTAATGGGAATGCTCATCTTTCCATTTTGTGCAGGTAGGGAGATAGGTGGTCAACATCTACCTATTAAAGTAGATTTTTAATTAAAACTAAAATGTAATTTAAAAAGAATGAACAGCTAGTTCTGGAGGACACTAAGCTCCCACTCAGTCAATGGTTCAGGAGAATTAACAATAGCTTAATGACATCAATCAGCTTTTTGTCTTTTCTGAAGAGAGATTGATTCCTTCTGGCAGGGAAAGTCATGCCTTGAAGACTTAGAGTAGAGAGGTCTGAGGTGGTGGAAAAACAAAGATAAACAGAATTTCCAGGATGAGGGGGAAGTATTACTGAGGTCATGAGAAATTGGAGACACTCAGATCCTAGAGTCCTCTACTGAGTGAAGCAGGATTCTGTTGGACCAGTGAGGTCACAGGACAGCAGCTTGCCCCTCCTCACCCATGGGAAAGGTTCTCCTTAGTAGAGAACCCTTAGTAAAGCCCAGATTCCATCTTTGCTACTACTTGAAGACCCCAGGGAAGAAGGGGCTTCACATTCCTCACTCTCAGCCCAGGGATCTGATGACACAGTCTGTCTGATTGACTAAGCCAAGGTCAAGTCCAAGATCTTTCTAAGAAACAGCTCTATTGTAGGCTACTGGAAACTTGACACACAGGTTTCTGGTTCTCCCCCCACCCCCACCCCCAGGCACAGAATTCTGTAGAAACCAGGTACTATTTGTATTAACTAGGGTTCCAAGAAACAAGCAGGACCCAGACCTAGGGTTATCCTATTTAGCCTTTGGAGGTAGGAATGGGGAGGATCATGGGAAGCTGGACCCTAGTCATCACTTCTTACCCCACGGACTTCCCATCTGCCTCTCTGGGGACCAGAATGACTATAACTTAAGACACCCAAATCCCCATAACTTTTGCCTCTGGATAAGGTGGGTCACTGAGAGCTCCCTTCATGGGTAAGCCAGGTTGATGCAGAAGCAGCTAAATCCAACCAATAGGGCTGAGAGTTGTACAGTTTAGGATTCTTTAGGACCCTTTTCTTCTTTCATAACCCTGCCAGTGGCTCAGGGGTCACTGTCATGGCTCTGCTCCTACCTCTCAGGCAGGAGGGTTGCCAGAAGTCCTGCCTCTTTAGGGCCTCTGGAAAAAATTCCCTAAAGGCTGGGTACAAGGCATGAAATCTGCTCAGCTGAAAGTTCCAGGGACCCCAGAGAGCCCCTGTATTCCCAGTATTCTGCAAGATGCCCTTTAAACCCTGCCAAGAACACAGGGGAGGAGATTCTCTGGCTGTTATCTCATGAGTAAATAGACAATGTTTGTTCATTTGCTCAACACATCACCCTTTTCTTCCTGCCTCCCTGGAGAGCACTTGCAGTTCATCCAAAAAGGTTTGCTTTCTGTCAGCCTGGTCCAGCGCCACCTCTGCTTTGCTGCTTGCTATTGGGAGAAGCTCTTAAAGGAGCTTGAGGTAGCTCCTTCTTTAAGATGTCTAGAAGCTCTTGTCAACCCTGGTACCATTCCTAAAGATCCTAAAGCCAGAAGTTCCTTCCTTGTGGGGAGGTGGAACATGGGGGATATGGCTGCCTCCACAGAAGTGTAGCACAGAGGTGCTAGAGGGAGCACCTGCTGCAGGGAGGTAGTCAGGACTAGTGAGATGAGCTGCTGTCCCTCCATCATCAGCCCTAAAGTTTTACCTAAATGACCGGGAAAGTGAAATGAAACTAATCAGTGTGGAAAAGCAGTATAATCTAAGGTTCCTGGATCCCTAGGACCCAGCTGACAGCCAGGCAGCAAGGAGAATTGGCTATAAACATCTTCCTCACAGTAGGACACATAACCCATTGGAATTTGGGACTCTTTTAATAAATGAGGATAGGAGATGAAAGCATTAATAATAGTAAGAAGAGACGGAGAGGAAGGGGTTCTTCCTGTTTGGGTCATGCTCAGCCTGCCATTGGACCTGATTCTTTCAGTGCCTGGTCCAGGAGGGAAGCCTGGCCTCTCGTCCAAGTCCCATCTCTGTGGGAGGGTATAGCAGCTCTGACAACTGTGGCTTATGCCTCCTCTAAGTGATCCATCTCCAGGGCATGTCTGCCCAGCTCCCGGCCTCCCACACTGTGCAGCTCCTGGGCCACATCTGATGTCCAATTGGCAAGCAGGTCACTAAAGTCAGGTGTGCTGGTGTTGAGCAGACACAAGGAGCTGGGAGCTGGCTCCTTCCAGAAGGACTGTGGCAGCTTTCTTTTGTGCATTGGGGTGATGTGGCCATACTTCTTTTCAAGCCTCAGCCTCCGGCTGTCAGACACCCTCTGTCTAGCATATTGACAGAGACCATATTCAAAAAGCTCAACCAGAGGCCCCAGTTTCTGAGATCTATCTCTGCTGGAGATGAACCTGGTCTGGCAATCGAAGCCCCTGGGGAGACCAACAATGTCAGGGTCCTCATCCTCCTGGTCCCCACTCTGGACGATTTGCATTAAATCTGCATAGTAGAGCTCCCTTGCAGATTTGCCAGGTGGGCGACTGTCCTCATAAATGTTGCATGCATCCGGGTCATCGTCTTTTGTCTTCTGGCCAAAGTACTTCTGGATGTCACAGCTGATGAGCTCAGAGAAGCGCAGGAGTTGCAAAGTCATCTCGGTGCTACTTGGGCTTGGCCTGGTGGAACCCTTCCCCAGCTCCTGGTCTGACCTCTGGAATCCTGGACTACAGCCTGCCAGCTCCAGGTCCTCCATCTGTTTTTCCCCATCTTCCTCCTGTTCCCCATCTTCTTCCTCCTCGTCCTCGGAGGTTTCAGGGAAATCTGGGTCTCGGGGGCCAGTACTAGGTAAGAATGGTTGATGGAAAGGGGTCTGCAGTCTAAAGTCACATAAATTTCTGATCACTCCAGCAGCCATTTCCTCTCAAGCCTAGGAGCCTTCCAAGGCAGCAGATGTTATCTGACTGGTAAGAGAAGGCAGGGAAGAAAAATAGACAGTCAATAGGTTTGAAAATGTCATGTTTGAGCAACTCAGTTCATTGTTCTACTTCTGCATCTTTATTCAGGCAGTTTCCCCCAGAATATCCTCCCCTCCATCTCTGTCTATCAATCCAACCCATCCTTCAAGATTTAGTTCAAATGACAACCTCTCCATGACCAGAAACAAGATGTATGATTCATTTTGGACTTCCATTTTGGACTTCCCCTTCCTCACTGCCATCACTTCCCCACCCCACCACCCCTAACTACTGCTCAAATGGTCTAGCTTCAATTCAACACACATTTGTAGAGCTTGGGGATACTGGCAGAGAGACAAACTTTATTTTTATTTCATAAAGTCCCTTGCTCTCATATAGTTTACAGCATGGCAAGGGATATAGAGACAAACACACATTTCTATAATACGAAAGCTATACAAGAAAGCATATGCTTAAATGCTAATATAAGTAGAAGATCAGAGTTATGTTGGCTTAAGTGATCGGCGGAAGTCTTCCTAGAGGAGGTAGAATTTGAACTGGGCATTAATGGATGAATAAGATTTGGAAAAGGGAAAGGAATGGGCCTTCCAACCTAGGGATGATATAATAGTAAAGGGGCAAAGCCAGAATTAAGGATGATCTATTGTGGGAATGGTAATAAAACTACTCAGCATGGACCAAGGGGATTGATTCATGGTGGAGAATAGTAGAAGATAAGTTGAGGAAAGATTGTGAGTCCCAGGCTGAGGACTTTATCCTATGGGAAATGGAGTGCCTGTGAAGGTTATCAGGTCAGGGAATGACATGATGCATGAAAGCAGTGTTTTTGAAGACTGGTCTGGGCAGTGTACACAGGATGGACCAGTGTGGGCAGAGTCATGAGGCAGTTTAATAATCTTTCTCAGGAATGTCAGGCTCTTAGTCCTAAAAGGAACCTTAGAGATCATCTAGTAAACCTTATTCCCATCTGAAATGGATAAAGAAGGGTTGAACACATACACATAGTTGGTTGTAGAAATGTTAAACTCAACAGGGAAACGAGTGGGGACAGGGAGGGGTGTGGTGAAGAGGAAGAATGATTTGGAGTTTAGTCACAAGAAACAAACTTTCTGATTCTGAAGGATGAATAAAGGGGGGCAAAGGAAAGAAAGAACTTGGGTTGTTGTTGTTCAGTTGTGTCTGATTCTTTGTGACCCCATTTGGGGTTTTCTTGGCAAAGATACTAGAGTGGTTTACCATTTCCTTCTCCAGCTCATTTTACAGATGAGGAAACTGAGGCAAAGAGGGTTAAGTGACTTGCCTACAGTCACACAGCTAGTAAGTGTCTGAGGCCAGATTTGAACTCAGAAAGATGAGTCTTCCTGACTCTAGTCCCAGCACTTTATCTACTGTGCTACCTAGGTGCCCCTAGGCCTCTTAGACAATTGGGGAATGCCTGAACAAATTGTGGTTTATATATGTAGTAGAATATTATTGCATCATAAGAAATGATGAAATTACTTCAGAGAATAGTAGGTGGTATGAACAGAAGCAAAGTGAAGTAAACAGAAACAGAACAATTTATACAAGGAGAGCAACCTTGTAGAAAAAAATAACTTTGAAAAACTTAAAAATTCTAATTAATGCCATGAACAGCCATGTCTCCAGAACAGCTATTGTGAAGCATACTATACCTCCAGACTGCCTCCTGACCAGTAAAAGACATGAGGGGCAGAGACATACATTTTTACACCTGGCTACTGTGTGGCTTTATTTTGCTTGACTATGTTACAAGGGTTTTTTTCTCTCTTGGCTTTTAAGTAGGGGGTGAAGGTTGGGTGAAAAGGATCAGCAATTGGGATTGAAAAAAAAAAAAAGGAGGGCCATTGTGACATTTTTTTACAAGTATATGGAAGGGGCAGCTAGGTGGCACAGTGGATAGAGCACCAGCCCTGAAGTCAGGAGGACCTGAATTCAAATGTGGCCTCAGACCAAACACTTGACACTTACTAGCTGTGTGACCCTAGGCAAAGTCACTTAACCCCAATTGCCTTAAAAAAAAAATATATATATATATATATATATATATATATATATATATGGGGAAAATACATAAAGAAGTTCAGAAGGAAGCAGAGACAAGCAGCACAGCTTTGAAATAAAAAATGTGTTATATATTTAAAAAAACAAACAGTATGAAATGGAGATTCATAGTTTCACATAAAAATCCTTTTAGATTCTGCTGTGTGTAAGGAAATGCTTTGTTGTTCAAATTCAAATGGGAAGGAGGGAGAGGAAGGGAGGAAAAAATTTGGAACTCAAAATCTTATAGAAGTGAATGTTGAAAACTAAAATAAACAAACAAACAAAGAAAAAGGAAAAGGAAAAAAACAAAATTTTTACATTTTAAAAAAAATTTGTAAAAGTGTGATCTTCTAATCCAGTCTCTTTATTTTATAGAGGGGTGCTCTATATAAAAAGCTGTGTAATAATTGGCAAATCATTTAACTTTACTGAACCTCAGTTTCCTCAGTTATAAAATGAGGATAACAATGCCTGAAGGACCTACCCTACAGAATTGTCATGAGGGCCAAATGAGATAATGTATGTAACGCATCTCTCAAATCTTAGAGGATTCTACCTATTCATTATTAAAGAAAGAAGGAAGAAAACTGCAGAGGTAGGTAACTGATTGATCTTGAGAAGCAAGATTGGGAGAAGTCAAGGTGTCATGTCCTGTGACGAGGAGAAAGTTGATACCACTAACAAATGGGTAAATTAAGAAAAGGAGTTGGTACGGGGAGAAGGTGATGAGTCCAATTCATCAAACAGGGATATTGAAGAGGCAAGTGAAGACATAGACCTGGAACTTGGATGAGAAGTTAAGGCTGAATATATTGATTTGTTTTGCTTGCCTTTGTTTACTTATTACAAGGGAGGCTTCTGTTAGGGAGAGGAAGCCATTAGGAAATGACAGTGATATAAAACAAAAAGAGAAGAACATCAATAAAACATTTTTTAAAAAATTGAAAGCATATCATATGTGTGACACTGTGCTTGAAATACAAAAAAATTAATATGGCCCCTGAGAGACAGAGAGAGAGAGAAAGAGAGAGAAAGAAAAAGAGAGAGAGAGATTTTACTGTCATCTGTCTTTTTGAGTGTTTGGGAGCATCCCCTTCACCACGTAATGGTTTTATGGCATCAGAATAAATGACATTTATGGCCCTTCAATAAAGAGAGTCTCTGTGACATCTGCCCAGGATAAAAGGGGCCCTGAAGGAGCTTTGAACAGATCGAATTTGACCATAGATGACTCCCAACCATTCCTTTTTGTCAATGGAATATTTCCATCCTGGGAGCAGTTTCCTGTGTCTCTGGGGAGTTCCTAAAATCTGAAAATTCCACACAAAACCCCAAGAGCTGAAAATATATCAGAAGCCATAAGCAGCTGCTAGCTAGGTTAGTGATGGTTTAGTGGGACAAATGGATTAGAACCTGGAAGGATTTGGTCCCTGGGAGGTGTACTGTGTTTTCTTTTTATACTATCCTCCCTCCTCCTCTTTACTCCCAAAGCTCACTTTGACTCTATTATTTTTTATTTTTTTACTTTTTTTTGGTGAGGCAATTGGGGTTAAGTGACTTGCCCAGAGTCATGCAGCTAGTGAGGAGTATGTGTCTGAGGCCGGATTTGAACTCAGGTCCTCCTGACTTCAGGGCCGTGGCTCTATTATTTTTTTACTTTCGTTTGGGTTCACTTCCTGGTTCTCTGGTCTTCATGGTATGGGACAAGAAGTCGGCAGTTACGGTGGATGTTTAGAGGTGACTCTGACAGCAGTCTTTTTCATGGTTGATACGTTGTTGAAATCTTTAGACATATCTTTGTATTATTTGTTATTCTGTTAAGAAATTCTCTAGCCAGCAGCATTGATCTTTGAAGACTTAGTTTGACATTGCTACGGTACTAATATCCAAAATCTCCAGGAGACAGGCTATTTAAATTATGGTTACATATAAGTAAGCAATCACATAAAGTATATGCAATATAACACAAAGTACTTTTAAGAGCAAGAGAGCATTAACTAGGAGCCTCAGGAAAGGCCTACTGGAGGTGTCATTTGAACCATGCCTTGAAGGAAGCTAGAGATTTTATGAGGCGTGAATGAGGGGTAGGTGCATTCCAGACATGAAGGGCCGCTTGTTCAAAGACATAGAGGAGGGAGATGGAGTGTCATGTATAGGGAATTGGAGCCAGTTTTACTGGAAAGAAGAATTTGCAAGGGAAGAAAAAAAAATGAACTAAGCCTGGAAAGGTGGATGGGAATCAAATGGCGAAGGGCTTCAAAAGTAATTCTAAGGAATTTACATTTTATCCTAGAGGTAGTAAAGAATCCTTGAAGATGATTGAATATCAGGCTGACGTGGAAATATTTATGCCCTATTTGTGGTCTCATTGCCCCACTTTATGGGCAGGAGGAAAGAACTAGCTCCATTCCCACCTTCAAGGGTGGTTATGAGAATAAGAGATTATTGTATCAGTGGAAAAGCACTCAAGGAGCACAGTCAACCTATTGTCCTGACCAACATCATTTCATAATCATTCCACTCATGCATTAGATCCAAACTCAACTTTACCATCACAAAACTCCACTGGAACATCTCTTATTCAATTGCCCAAAGCACAGCTCAGATCCCACCTCCTACACAGACCTTTCCTGGGCCCCCTAGTTGGTAGTGCTCTCTCTCTGTCTCTGTCTTTCTCTGTCTCTGTCTCTGTCTGTCTCTCTCCACAAGTTATGTATTTATTTACTTTTCCAAGTAAATGTTGTGCTGTACAATATAACTCTCAGTGGACTGCAATCTCCATGAGGGCAAAGACCATTTTATCCTTTGTCTTTGTATCCACAGGACCTGACCCAGTGCCCCACACACAGTTGGCCCATAATAAAACTTGGTGAATTTAATTTGTCGCACTGCTTCTGTGGTACTAAGTCTCCCCCTATCTC